TTAGGGATATTAATCGATAAAACCATTAACATTGACTAAAAAGTCTTGAAAGATAGAAGAGTTGCAGAGCAGATAGGAGAGAATAGTCTTGAACGTTTTCCTGTGCCCTAACTATGCTCAGATCCAGCAAGAGTGAAAGTTTTTTACTTTTTGCACATTTCTGGCTAAGATATAAGTCCTTCTGATACTCCATACACAAGATAAGAAGTGTAAACACAAGAAGAACAAGAAGTTTCTATATTACTACATTCATAATGTAAGTATTTATCACTTAGAGTGATCATAAAGAAACATGTATTTATCACACAATTTCTATTTTTCATTATCTCTGTACTTAGCTGTTTCTTGGAAATGAAATACAGGTATTTTAACCGTAAGAAGTTCTGAAGAGTCAAGAAGTGTCAGAAGCTTCATCTCAGCAAGAAATTATTTATTCTTAATTCTGTTCATCTGCAAAGGTGATGCAGTTAAATAGACTTGTCAAGCATATGACCTGTGATCTGGGGCTGCCTTGTGTTTTTTCGTATTTCAAATCATTCTGTCTTAATAAAAAGAATTACCATATAAAAATTATTAATACTGATACTCTAAAAAATAGATAGCTTGTTTTTCTTGTGTCTTTAGAGGTGACTTTTCATGATATTGATTATGGAAAGATTTTTAAAAGTCTTTTAAAAATGAATAGTAATGTTAAAATTGTCTGGCTATCAGCTCAAAAGAGGGCCATATGTACTGAGATTTCAGCCAGAAATTCTCCCATGCTAGTTTGCAACAGCCCTGGGATCAAGAGAAAATCCGCATCCACACTTGAGGTAGAAGAAGGAATTGTCAGCTGAGAGAGAGTATGACACATCCACAATGTTGGAGAATTTTGCCTGAGTAAAGAGAGATATTAAAAGTCACTTAACTGAAATTATGGATGTAGATGTTCCATTTGGATCATTAACGCGGATATTATGGGATATTCACCTACTGGTTAGTTGTATCATCTATTTCTCACTTTCCAAACCCCAAAAGAACTTGAGAAAAAAAATCCTAATGGATTTTTCAAATATTTTTAGCTCAGAAAGCATATTATGATTTAGATTACACAACAGTAGGCTACACAAAGCCTTACACTTTAATAAATTTATAGTTTCTTAATTATTATTAGAGCAATAAATGCTTTCTTTAAAAGCATTCTTTAGAGAATAAGACTGCATAAAGAAATGCAGTCTTTAATTTGCGGTTTTGTATGTGGCCCTAAGCAAAGCAATGTTTTTGTTAGGTAACCACCAGAGGGAGCCTGGTGAGCCTGTAGAGAGAAAACAATGTGGAAAAGTGACAAAGCAAAAACAGTGTTTTAAAAAAATAAAAAAAGGAAAGCCAATCTTGCCTTTTTGTTCCTATGCAAGAAGCTTTTACACAAACTGATGTTTCCATTGATTTCAGTAATGAAATCTGTATGGCTGAACAATTTCCTAACTGAAATCCTGCAAGAGGGCAATGAAGATTAAATGATGCATCCTCATTTCTTTAAACCACATCTATAGATTTATTTTTTTTTAATTAAATAGTTAGTGGTGCTTTGTGTACACAGTAGCTAAAGTGCTTCCTTTTAAAAATTGATAAATTGCCCTAACTTCTCATAAGGGCTGTCTTTAATTCAACATATACAACAAAGTAAAGGCATTGGATTTAAAAACTCAAAAATGTGTTTTCTTCTTTTGGTACGGGCAATACCCCTTTGATATCACAATGGTAACGGGAGAACCTAAGGTAGCATAGCCGTAGAAATGAAATTACAACATACGTAGGTGAAAACTTCTTTCTGAATGTAGTTTTCCAGTTTAACAATGGTTCAATGTCAAAACCGACTAACGTACTGAATGGGATAACTGCAAAAAGTTTTAGTTCAGCCATGTCCTTTTCAGTAATTTCAGCAGTTATCTGGATCGTAGGATAAAGACTACACTCAGTGAATTTGCAGACACCGCTATTGTCAACACATTCAAGCTCAGGCTTAGAAATCAAAAGGATCTGAGAAAAACTGAGCACCAACGCCGCTTCCTTTGTGGCAGGATAGCATCTACACACGTCCGGGTGAGGAACAACAGGCCAGGCAGGGGTGCTGCAGAAAAAGATCTCGGGATCATAGTGGATTCTAGGCTGGACCATGACTAAACAACATGATGTTATTACAAAAAAAGCAAATACATACTGGAATACATAAATAAAACTACCTCCTAAAATTCTTGGCTAAAACAAAACGTTTTTCGATTTTACCATGCGCTTTGTGAACTGCTGAAAATGCATTAATAGAAGAAGTTAAAAAGTGAAAGCCTACTAGTTTATAAACTTCTTTAGCTGAAACGGGAAGCAGAGGCTGCTTTATTTTGCTGGGATCACATGCATTTATTTATGCAAATAAAGTTTGGAGTAACCGATTTTAAATGGCTGCTAATACTGAAATGTTTACCAGAACAAAGAGAAAAAGAATTTGGCTTTTGGAAGCACTTAAACCAAACACCTGTACTAAATTTGCAAGCTGAAGTCTTGAGTTTTCGTCAGTGTATGTGGGCATCTGTGTTTTGAAAACAGTTAGGATCTGCATGTGTAAAGTAGGATTTACATTTCTAAATGTAAATGGCAGTGATCCACCATCATTTTCTTAGCCTTTTTCTCATAGTAATAGATGAAATATGGGATTATAATTGGAATGAATGTTCCTTTGAGAGATGATTTCTTAAGATGATGGTCTGCAAAATTCAGCAATGTCACTGGCAGCATATCCAGATTCTCCTGTGTAAGGGCATGGGTTCACTTTGCAGCAAGTTGAGTTTTAACACTGCCTCATAAAATTAATGCTGCCCTTTTCCATATTTTTATACAGTATAAAGTGAATCAAGTTTTCCTACTTCATCAACCTCAAATACTTCTAAGGAAAATGAGAATTCTTTAACTTTCTTACTATATTATCATTAATTGTAGAAGTTGTTCAAAAATATGTTTGTTTTTCTTGTTTCAGTCACTTAGGATTGCAGTCTGGATGTGGTATTAATCTTTTAATTGCATGCTAGCTTATGCAATGAAATTGGTATTTGAGATAATTGCTTTAAGAATTTGAATATAATCCAATTTAACAATGGGTCAAGTACTACTTTAATTGTAGGTGTAGCTAATCCAGTGAAAATACCCCACAAGAGCATTCAATGATTTACGAGTGGATGTGCTGGCATTTTGATGGCTACTCAATAGCTGGACTGCATAAAATTCACAATGATTGCATGGTATGGGAAATATGACTGCAATTTATCAGCAGAATTGTACTTATTTCCTCTCAGAGGTAAAAATTGGCTTTTTATGTGATACCATATCCTCAGTTCCCAACATCTGATTGAATGTTTATACCTTATCCTCTGAAAAGTACAGTAAAGCTACAATATACAGTGTAACCTGTGTGACAGTGTCTCTTTGGCAATTTCTCCGAGTGACAGTAGGTACTGAATAAAAAGTAACGCACTGAAACAAGCCTTGAAAATTGTGGGAAAGAAACAGAGCTTCTGCCCACTAAACCTCCTGCTCACTGTGTTACGGTACAGCCTCTCTGATTCACAAGTTGTTTCACGATGTGACAAGATCCAATCCTGGAGAATGGCGGATTGGCACGGGAGCAGAAGGGAACGAGCGTTTCTCTGCAGTTGGAGTTTCTGCACTTTCGGTAAAAAATAGGAGGAAACAGTAGGAATTCCCTTTGTTTGCAGTCGCTGTTCCTGACTAGATTTTCAAACTGGAGGACAGAAGGGCTGTTTCGCATATTAGCACTATCCCCTGTAAGACTCTCGTATCATTATCTTATAATACAATACAAGACTCTTGTATTGTCTTCTTAAACAGGGCAGGCTGGATTGATTCTGCAGCTTTGATTAGGTATATTTGTAAGTCAGAAAAAGAAACCAGCTACCCCTGGGAAAAGGCTTACAGTTGGAAGACTAGGCCTGAGAGATGTAGACTCAGTTCTTTCCATGGCAGTTTTTAATGCTATACTGAGGAAGTAATCAAAATTTTTCTTTCCCTCCCTTGCCATTAGTAAATTCCTGGGGAGTTTTTCAGTTGCTCAGATACATTGCTGGCCAGAGACGTATGAATACCCAATGCAGGAAACAGTCACAATATAATTTTCCTTTCGGGACCTGATGGCAACAGGTGAAGTGAACTGCGTATCAGTTCCTTGCTGATGCTTGTGAGTTGTCATTTCTCTAAAAACAAGCAAGCACAAAGAATAGTTTCTTCATCGGTTCCCACAAAGTGAAAGTGAGTCAATTAATAATAAGAATAGAAACCCTGAGCTCCAACTCAGACATGCAGCTGTTCGATCTTCCTGAACAATTGCCTCTTATCAGCAATTCTAAAAACTCTCCTGGGTTTTATTTGTCCTAAACCAGAAAAAATCCTTCAACTTTAAATTACTGTCAATATTCCTAACATTTTGACAAGTGTCTGTGATCAAACAATATCTAATTACTTCGTATGTTTAAAGGAAATGCAAATACTCAATTGCTACTCAGATAGTCATGGGGAAAATACCTGTACATGTAGCTAGCTATATAGCTCCTGTAGATAGGAGTATCATAAGATATCTTACCGATTTCTGTAGAACTAGCAGAATAGCTAATCATGTGCTTAAGTGGTAGTACCACCAAAACCTTTGAAGACATTTTGTTAAAGCATTCTCAGGTCTAAAGCTAAATAACAAGCTCTTAATGTCAAAAGGTTTTAATTTTCTTTTTCTTTTTGTGACTGTTTCCTTTCAATCAGTACACTTTTATCACTAACAACAGTTAAACCACTGGAACTGGAGTTCTTGCCTGCTTGGGAAGATTTATAAAAGAGCGCTTGTTGCCTTTCATGATTGGAAGAGCGAGGGCATTATGGCCCACTTCACCGACGAAGATTGGGCTGAGGTCAGTTCTTACAGCAGTGAGCATTAGTTGTCTGCATTGCAGATGACGTTACGACCTGCCAGAGAGGGGCGAAAAAAAGGGAAAAAGAAAAAAGCAGAGCATAGAAACGTGACTAGAAGCAGGAGAGACCAGGGAACAACTCACTGATGACAGCTGTGCACCCACGCCTGAAAAGCTTTCAACATAGGGAAACTTTAGGGTTGATTTACAAATTCAGTCCAACACAAATCCCTTTAATAAGGCAGTCTTGTGACATTTCATTAAGCTCTTCAAACACGAAAATGAAATGGTGATAGAATAAACCTCAGTTAAATTTTAACTCAAGGGCCATACAAACAACAGAAAATACACCTGTAAGGAAAGAAATAGCACCCCACAAGTAATTTTCAGGGAAAATGGACAGAACTTCATTTAATGGAGCGATCTCCAGTTTATCAGTTATCCTGAACCTTTTTTGTAAGGTCTACACTGGAGATATTGCCTGTGTAAATAAGCCATTGGTATTACAGAAAAGAAAAGTAATTTGATTCTGCAGTATTCAAGTCAAAGGGAAAATTTTCCATCAAGTTGCTTGGAAAGAGAATCAAATGCCAAATTTGTTTTATCATGGTTTCCACATTTTCTGCAAATAAGCCTAAATAATACTAGACAGGGATGATGTTTTGTAGGACTGGTAAAGCTGATAGATTTGTAGTGACTGATTTTAATACTTGAGCTGCCATCTTTATGCTCAAACTCAGGACATGTTGATCAAGAAAGACATAGTGTAATGACATGTCATTTCCTGAGAAAATTCTGATTTTAGGGTAATATTTCTGTAAATATCTGTTTCTGCAGGGATTTCTTTTACTCGTATAAATAACATTGCTACACTGCTTCTCTGGGATAAAGTTTTTCTAATCACTGATTACTCAAAGGAGATTATGTTTATGTTGGAAAAGAAGAATCATTGATTATGATTTCAAAGGCAACATTAAATTTGAGGAAAAAGCAGCAAGAACTCTCAAAAGACAAGGGAAGTTTCTTAAAATTATTGACCCTATAATGATATTAAACACTTGACTGGTCTTAATTATTTGGTGTAATGCAGGGGTGTATGAACAGGCAGGAGTAAGATCTGTAACAGCAGCAGATGAAACCAGGCTGCGAGCTGCAGCACTAGAGGCACGAGAAGCTTAGCTAAGAGGCGTAACAGCAGTCACAGCGACATCCACGCTTTGGGTTCTTCACACTACTTAAAACCGTCATGGTCAGGATCAAATCCACGTGCTTTCAGAACAAGATCCTTTCCATTTGAAGAACCCACCTGCTTCCGCATCAGTGGCTGGCTGAGATATAATAGTGGTTCATAAAGATCCAACCTGTGCTTTGCCTGTGGGCTACGTATGTAGCAGTTCACGCCAAGGAGTCAGGACCAGCCCTGGTCCATGGGTTAGTTCATTAGACATCTGCTGTTTCAAGAGGAGCATCCTTATGCCTGCATTCCCCCTTAACATTGTGTCTCTCATCGAGGCTATACACAAAATGCACGGAAATACAAGGTGTCATGGAATGTGCCATAATACTGTAGTTAATGCAGAACTTGACATAGCTCAAACAGTTTTAGGTAATGAGTCAAATTCTACTTTCAGAGCAATGCCAATCTACTGAGTCAAATGCCAAACTGGGCACTAAAATTTGTGTTAGAAACATTCATTCTCATCACAAACCATGCAAAGAATAGATTCAAAAACATTTTTATTCACAAAGGTTATTAGGATTAACACTAATAGTCTAAGAAATACCCCACAATTAATATGTCTTACTTTGGCCATCTCCTGATTCTGTGCATTTTCATCTAAGAACATGATTCAATTTTTGGATAAAGCAAAGCTAAATGATACTGAACTCCGTCAGGTTCAGGCCAGTACGAAAATACTTGAAGGATAAAATGACATTGCTCAACTAATTATCATTAATCAACATGGGGGAAGGTCTGTTGTTTTTCACCATAAATGCAAAGGCAGACAATCACTGAATGGCTTCTCCTATATTTAAATGTCTTTTTTAAGGACTAAACATTGCCTTCTTTCCATGCTGGCCGTACTATAGAACCATATTTTGCCCTGAGATGTCTGGATTCAAATTTGCTGAGTTAAATTTCTCTCTCACACACATGAAGAAAGAATTAGTTTCAACTCTGGCAGACCTTAGGAATAGAGTCCATTAAATACTTAGCAGTACAGGTCCATACAGAATTGTTAAAATCTCTGCACAATAGATTGTCTTTTGTATTTATTTTAAAGGCTAATATTCCCTTGAATGACAATGAGGAGCTAATCTGTTGGAATGGCAAACCAGTGAGTTTAAATGAAATAAGAAACTGGATAAAGAATTATGTGCAAAGAACAATCCCTGTAGTAGTGGAATGTAATGTATCCAAATAGTTTTGGCTAAGGTTATTTGCCCTAAAGTTACGGGTGTAGTTCAGCCACAGATTTAAGCCTGCATAAATTAGGCTCTGGAGATTTACTCCTAATAATTCTTGCCTAAATTCATATTGAGGACAGCAGTGAAGGATGTAGAAAACACACAAAGTAAGGCTGAATGCAAGTAAACCCAGGGGTTCACTTAGGCTATATCTACATTAGCGTATTAATTTTGATCAGGAGTGTGTTTTTGAAGCAAATCCCCGGCTGACCCTCATTCCTGTACTTTGGTTCTCCCCACTCAGGGTGAGCCTGGGGGCTGCCTTCCAGCTGAAGCTGAGTTGGGGATACGATAGGCTCCAGAGTACACACCGTGTGCTGCGGCAGCTGATGGATATTCAGTGCCTCAACCAGACTGAAGTGGGGTTAGGGTAAAACCGCTGGAAATGTGTGTATTGTGGAGTTTGGGTCTCCAGCATTAACTGTTTAGTTCAACTGACCGGCTCCCCTTGTGCCGTGCTACTTGGTCCCATAACACAGCCAAAATGCAACTCTTGCCTGAAAACAGGATGAAAATCATCTTTTTAAAGCAGTAATTAGTCTGAATCACGGGTTAAATAATTTGTTGAATTTGGGCCGAAGTTAGGTCCCTTAGGATAAACATGGGTATGTTTTGTTCTGAGTAGAATAATTGCAACAGGTTTTGTTGCTGTGCTTGCTGTGAACAAGTATTAAGTCAGTCACTTAAACAGCAGCTGTTTACAGCTGACATTTCATTAGCCTGAATATCCCTCCTGAGTGGGTTTGCTCAGGGTAATGAGCATTAAACTTGGCAGTGACATAGCCCCTGTGTCTCTTTTACTGAGAGTAATGAGAAACAGTGAAATGAAATTTGGAAACTTGCATCCTTATTCAGTTGATGACACTATTATTTGACGTGTAAAAAATAATAATAATCAGATAGTTATCTTAGCCCATTCTAGTCTTTCATAAAAAAAGCAGTTTCATAATAGTAATCTTAGAGATTTGAAGTGGTGTTTAGAAGGGAATTCATAAGAAAAACAGATTTGAGCAGTGTTTGCCTGAGTCCCCCTATTAATCATCCTGAAATTTGCTTAAGAGTCTGTGCTAAAGAAATATATCTCAGTGGGAAATAATGATGTTTAGCTTCTTGCATTGCTAGATTCACTTAATGAGTTATTAAAAGCAGGGCCTTTCATATTGAACTTTATTAATTACATAAAATATAGATATCACAATAAACCCAGATACTATTTACTTCGAACTCATAATGGCTTGCAATAAGCTTACTTCTTCTCTGAAAATTAATAATCAGCTGCCACTGTGGGTCTGTTTTTTAAAAAATGCCAAATATTTTCCCTCTTTCCTTCACATGCATTGTACAAATGCTGTAAAGATGCTTAGAAATAATTAACAGAATTGAAAATGTTTCAAATTAATTTCTTTGTCAGCTATGTAAAGGAATTCAGGTCTAGAAAGGACGTTCTAGGTCAGCGTATTGCAGGCAATCACTGTGGAAAGATAAGGTACAGTCCTCTCAGTGTCA